CCCTCCCCACTGAGCCGCCTTTCAGGGAGCTGTGGAGGGCACTGAGGTCCCTCCTGAGCCCTCTCCAGGCTAAACACACCCAGCAGCTCCCTCAGCTGTTCCTCACAAGACATGGAGGAAGTTTTCTGGAGCCTTCATGAGCCTTGCTGCCCTTCACTGGTCTCGCTCCAGCACCTCAATTTTCCTTTGAAAGTGAGGAGCCCAAAACAGTGCTGGAGATGAGGCTTCACCAGTGTTGAGTTCAGGGGGACAATCACTGCCCTGGTCCTGCTGGCCACACTATTGCTGGTACAGGCCAGGGTGCCATACTTGGCCATTCTTGGCCACCTGAGGACAACTGGCTCACGTTGAGCTCATATTCATAATCTGTGAACTGCATTCAGATTTTTGCTTTGCTCCTAGGTAGAAGAATCTGGACTAATTGACAGTCTTTGGTGTCAGTGATAATCCAGATGGGAAAATTATGCTGAAACTAGATTTAGGATGTGGCATGTAACCATGAGAACTGATGTCCAAATCGGCTGTAGGTACTTGTAGTCACTGATGAATTCTGTGAAAACTGGAACTACCTTTGCTGTGACAGAGGTTCTCCACGTGATCAATACACTTACCTAATTTTTAGCATTGTTAATGTAATGGACTGCAGAGTTAAGGATAGACTGAAATCATTCCAGATTACTTAAACTGTATATGATTTATTCATTTTTAGTGTGTGGCTGATAAAATGTATTTGTGAGGCCATGACCAATAAAGAACAGAAAACATCCTTTCCAAGGAATTGTTCTAAATTGCCAGTATGTGGATTTCTAACATGTAGAACTGTGTTTCTGTAATTCCTGTGTCATATTTCCATTTAATAAAAGCATTAATTGAGACGAGTTCAGTTGATTACAGCATGGTGGTAACATCACCAATGTTGTAGGTTTGAGCCCCATATGGGCAATTCACTTAAAAGCTGGATTTGATAATCCTTGCATGTCCCTTCCCCAAATATTCTGTGATTAAATATGACTGACCAATTAAATCTTGCTGAAGGTACTTTTGTTTTCTGACTTACAAAAAAACATGCTGTATAATTCTATAATATATCATTCATGAGGGCCATGGTTAAAATAGAAGTTATAGTTGAGTAATTTCTCAATTCAGCCACAAAGTGTAACTGTCTCTGTCTAGCTCTATAAAGACTGGACAAGGCAGCCATAAAATACTGGACAATGTTTCATAAAGCTGTTGTTATTAGGCAGAATGCTCTAATTTCCTATCTTTTAGCTTTAATTATGCTAAAAGAAAAAGGAAGCCACACTAAAATGCACTTTTTACTGCTAAAATGGGTTTACACTGCTAAAATGGCTTTACACATTAAAACTGATGAGAGATCATCTACAGTGCCATCCCTTCCCATCCTACTTCAGCTTTCCACAGATGCTCTTTAGAAAGGGTGTTTGATCTTCCAATAGTGACTTTATGTCATGAAAAAATATCCTTAAATTATATACTAAAAACTACAAAATACAATCACTCACTTCACTAGAAAAAAGATTTATATGCTGAAAGTGACTGAAAGCATTGGGAAATAGGTAGATGGCAGGGAAAGCAATATAGGCTTGTGGTGGAAAGAGGTATGTTAGTTTATCTAGGACTCCAAAACAAAAAGGAGAAGTATGAGAAATAACCTAGAAGGCACAGCCCCGAACATGCTCCCTGTTTCGCTTCCAAAACGTTTTTTAAAATTCTGCACTGATCTGTATTTGCTTAATTTAGGATGCAAGAAAATACTGGTTATCCATGAAAAATAAACTCACAAGAGAGGAGTATTTCTGCTGTAAATAAATTCTATTGTCAGAGGTTTCCCTGTATTCTTAATTCTGATGTTGGTTTAAGTGTTTAAAAATATACATAAATAGAAAGAAATCACCTGTCTTCCATGACAGCCTCTGTTCCCTTTCTGCCTGTTATGTGAGCATGAATTTCTGTTTGCTTATGATCACTCTTCTTCATTTTCAGGCTACCATGTATTTTCTTCTCTCTGGAACAGACTTGGCTAATAGCTACTCCTTTCTTCTGAAGAAAATCTGCATTATATCCCCAATCTCATGCAATCATTCCACCACATAGTTGAAACACTTTATAGGAATGCTACAGATGCATTTGTGTTAATCCTTTCCTCCTGTAAGTTTCTTCCTAGTCAGCTTAGGAGAATTCTTCCAGGAGAACTAGATGAATCCCCAGACACTTTATTTCAAACTACATTCCATTTATCTAAGGTCAGGAAATGTGATGTAGGAAATAATTCCACATTAACTGAAAGATGGGCTATTTAGCCTGTTGGGTGTTTTCCATTCATAATTTAGCATATTCTCTGTGTCCTGTGGTGCAGCTGTGCTATGCTCAGCACAAAGTGATAGTGTCCCTCAGACTTCCCACAGCACAGACAGGCAATTAAAGAGTCTTGGTAGCTGATATCTTATAGAGAACTGTGTGAAAGTAAGGAGTGCCTAGATAAGGTCCACACAGATCTTTTAAAGTACTCTTCCTTTTGATAGTAACTGAAATAATTGACATGGACAATGTCCCTGGTTTTTGCATTCCTTTTGTTCAGTCACACTGCTCAGTTAAGAATCTCTGAAATACTACATTATCAGACAGAAGAAATGCCAGAGAGATTTTAAGTGCATATTCTTCCACATAAAATGCAGGTTTGTCTCCTCCCATATACCCCATTACATGTTTATATAGTACAAGAATAAAAATGTATAAAATACCAATGAAAGTCCATTAAATATGGTTGAACATTATAGTAACTGTTTATCTATTATCAGTTTCTAAAATGATACAGACAATTACTGGACAAGAATTAAGTATACATGTACTTTATTTGAAAAGAATGCTCTGAAGTGCTCATTTTTAGAGTTCTATGTTTTTTATTACAATTACAAGATGAATGATGAAAGCTTTTCCACCCAGAAAACATTTCCTTGTGCCTATTAAGCAAAGAATTTGTAAATATTGTGGAAAACATTGTGACCTCAACAATCAATACACAATTCTAACAAGACAATGTATCATAGGTAGCAGTAGCATGAATTATACTTTCCATGGTTTTGTGGAACCTGGATGTTGGGCAAATCCTTCTTGTAGCTAATAATCAAATGTCACAATACATTTACTTGCACTGGATTATCCCACAGACATTCTCAAAAGAACAACTGTATTGTGCAAACAAACTCTAAAATTACATTCCTTCTCTCTAAAAGTATTTAGGTGGCAAATTTAAGACCTTACAAATGCCAGAGGATTTCTGTTACCCACATAAACTGCCCTCACAGCTGTCTTACTGTACAGTAATAATTACTAAGATCTGTGTTAGAACCAATGTAATTTGCAATATATACCTAGAATATTAACTATTAAATATTAACTAATCAAAGGTATAGGCTTTCCTATGTACACACAATAGGACAACATTGCAAAAGTAGAAAGCTGTACCTTTTACAGATTTTCAAATATATTCTCACTTGATGTTATTTCAATTTTGAATCCAAAGTACATTTACACAAATGTTTTCAAAGATGGGAGTTCACATGAAAGACAAAGTCCAAGCCACAGTACAGCAGAGTACCCTTGCACAGCTCTCCCATGTTAGAGATGGCAGGTGCTGAGAGAGGACACGGACCAGCCTCTGATCTGCTGGGACCTGACATCACTCAGCTCCAGCTCCATACCCAGTTTAGTCCACAGCCTGCCTTCCTGGCCTTCCTTGGCTGCCAAAGGAAAAAGCTAATTTTCTTCTGCAGGACATTCTGACCAGAAGCTTCTCTGAATGGAGCTTACTTTGGGTTGGCATTTTTTTATTTACTATGGGATGGACAGCCAGCTAACTCAGCTGACAGACACTGGGCAGGAACACCATGCTTCTTATCATTAACATTGTTCCTCTTCAGCTTCTGTTCAACACTGCTGCCACTTATCCTCTGTTTCTACCATAGTACACTGTTATCACAAGCTGTTACATTTTGAGAGCTGCTCCAAACCCCTCAAATAGACTCCACCCCATGGTAAATGTAGCTCTAAGTACTAACGTGCCTTTAAGTACTGCACTGAATATGCTTACACTCAGCTAGAAACTGGTGAAAATAATTCTCATAATTCTATTTTGAAAACTCTATCACTTGCCTACAAAGTAACTCTAGTAGCCAACAACTACTGTTCACACAGCATTTTCTATCCTTTGGTTTAGAGATAGAGACAATTTCTGTTCCCTAACCACAGCTGCTCATAAGCAATGAAGAGCAAGAAATAACATATTAATGTTACAAAAATTCTCAAAGGTCTGACAAATAAAGCAATTCTGCTTAAGAACATTTGTTTTCTAAGACAGTATCACAAATAACGTGAAGGCCAGAAGGAATACTAAATGTTCTGTGGGAAAAGTAATATAGCTGCATAGGTGAAAAGTTGGTCCCATGGTATCTGAATGCAGTACTCCTATTCATCAGGATGAGAACTGGATTCTTGTAGGGATGTAGGTGTGATTGCTTTAAGGGAGTTCTGTGTTTCAGCACAGCTGGAAATGGAAATGTGCATCATTCTCATACAGAACTCAACTGATTACTTTTTTTCCTACTTCCAAGATATTAATTAACTGTTAATGCTCTTAATGCTGCAAAAGTATTTCAAGCTATTAATAAAAGACAATTTATACCTCCATGAACATATAAGCAAATGCTGAGCTCTGCTTACGTAAGCAATCCCCACTGACCATGATAATTACTGGTTCTATGTTTCCAGTCTCTTGTATGTGTATTTGCTAGAATGAGGACCTCTTAATATGTATAAATGAATTGTCAACTATTTATGTAAAAAGTATGCTCCACTTTTTACTTACATGTAAAATTAAAAAGGAGACACTACATATCACCTACTAACTTTTTGATCAGATGGTTTATGAAATGCTGGTCAGTCAAAGTCAACCAGTCACCTTAATGCTAGAAAATACATCTTTAGGACAAACGACAGAGGGAGAGACATAAAAGGTTGGAAGCATAGAAGCAAACCCTCATAACTACTAAGAAATCTCTATTGCTGGATGACCAGATTGAATCATCATTTAGGTAGGTGTCATCAAAGTTCACAATCTTGAAGTCCTTCTTAAGGTAGGTGGCATTCAGTTTGTTTAGTGTTCGAGCAAAGGTATATTTAGATGCACAACTATATGCTTCTATATTGTAGACTTTGTGGAAATGCATATCAAAATATGGATTATCCTAAAAAAAAAAAAAAAATTGAGAGAGAATGAAATTACTACACACATTACAGAGTTAGAATTGCAATCTGTTGTTCTCTGCCCAGCTACCTACAGGGCTTTTTCTCAGTATGATGGGCTCTAAAGGACTTCACATACTTCCGCTATTCATCTTAAATGGTCTTTTAAAACTTTAAAAAGTAGCAGCTGTAATTCTTTGTCATTGGGAATTTTTTCAGAGTAAAACTTTCTAAGTTTTGGCAAGCAGTACACTCTACTTTATTGGTACAGTCTTCTTTTGAACTGAATCAGTTTGTTATGTTGCCTAAAACACAGTATATGAAAAGCATTGCCTTGGATTATCACTGTCTATGTCTGTGGGAGAAGAAGAATATTGATTGCTCTTCCTGCCTGAGTTGTATTTCTTTGTGCTTTCTGGCTCTTTGACACAATTAATCCTAGCAGCAGATAAATTCTTTTAAATTCTATGGATATGAATACCTATTATGAATATTTATAGCAGTGTTAATTACCCCATGAGTTTGAGGTTTAATTAGGCTTTTCTTTAATCAAAAATGAGACAGATTTTGATCATCCCAGCTGTAAAAGGCTGAATCATTTCTGAAGAATATTTTAGCACAACACTTCAGAAGAAAGTCTCCATTAAAATTTTTAATGAAATTTTGTTTTCAAATATACTCTAGAATCTATTACATTAACTGCAGTTTACACTGGAAGCTGCAAATGGAGAACTTTTATTACCAGTTATGATGACCAAATTAGAAAACACCCAGCTTCTGCCTGAGGTCTCAACCAGAGATGAAGGCTATTATAATAAACTAACAAACAAAAAAATCTCACCTTCCTCTTCCTCTCCAACAGTGCAAATGTGATGTGGAGCCTCTCACATGCAATAAAGCCAAAATTCCTTGGTAACTTAATTTTATTTTTCAGATAATGCATTTTAATTGCATTTTAATACTTGTATTCTAAATTGCAAAACAAGAAAATTATTTTCTATGTATATAATACAGAACGTGACACTTACTGTATCTGCTTCTTTTCCATCAATCATCTCCAGATCTTTCAGAAACCACTTTTCAACTATTTCATATTTCTCCTCTCGGTCCACTCGCCAGTGTTTAACCATACATATTTCTACTTCTTTACTTTTAGTTACTGGAAGAAAAAAGGAGTTTAGATATGCAAGCAAGTATTTCCCAAAGTTAAACCCTGACAGGCAGGGCTGAATTGAGTTATACTATATATTTGATAGCTTTATTTTGCCCAGGTAGTAGGAACAGTGCCATGTTGTTAGTCTAAGAAACCTGTCAGATTTTAGCAGATTTAGGATTTACCTTACCCACCCTGTGAAGAAAGAGTCTTTTTTTCAAAATCCTTTCATGTGAATTCACTAGCACTGCAATGAAATCCTCATTCCAGCACTGGGTCTGCATTATCCTTCTTACTTCAAGAGGAAGACTTTTTGGGGTGCTGCAGTTAGGAAATTGCAAAACCTTTGTTTTACCAAGGTTCTGTATTTACGTGACTTCTGCTATACTTTCCATTCTGTGAAGGAAGTTCTCTTATGAAGCCATTACTTTTTTAAAGCAAAATTCTTATTTCCCTATATAGTATGTAAATGAAATCAACATCAAAATTTTTTTCTTAAAGCTTCCAGTTGTCCAGTGCTAAATTAATAGAAATTACTGTTTTCCAACTTAGGCAGGAAATGAGATTAAAAAGAGCATGAAGATGCTCTTTGCAGTAACTACCATTATTAATTGATTACCTTGAGTGCTGACTAGGAGACTGGATTTCTGTAACAGACCATTACGAGTGTGAAAAGTACCAGAGCCTGAACCATCTCCTGCATATCCAGCTGCTGATGGCTGCAGGGCAGGCCACACTCCCAAGCTATCTGGTAGCCCAAGTTATGGTCAAGAAGTCACCTACATCTGGCAGGACTATTTCAACATCACAGCACAAGGCTTGGAACACAGGAGCAAAATGCTTTCCTTTCTAAATACTGCCTGAATTTTTGAAACCCTGTTTTGAAACTTCATTAGTTTTACCTTTCTCCTGTTAAAACATCTCTCATTCTCACCTGCTTATAAGAAAATGATTATTAAATAACAAAGTACATATGTTAGAGATATTCCTTCTTTCCATTGTAAAGAAAAACAGTGGAAAATATATAAATTGATCATAATTGCTCTCAACCTATAGCTTCCCTGCCTGGGAAATACAAATAATTTTTTTCCTTGGTCCTATCAATCATAGTTACTCAATCATTTTTGACCAAAAGACCACCACTGTGTTATCTTCATGGAGAAATTACAATGGTTTTCATTTGCAAGCAAATCTAGCAGATTATTCCTAGGAAGTTCTCTTCATCCTTTCAGTTTCACCCATTTTGTTTGTTGGTTTGCTAGCTTGTAAGGGAATATGTTGTCTCCCTCAGAGTTAAAACTAAAGAAAGCAAGCCCAAACCCCAAATCCTCTCAAAAATACAAAGGGATGTCCTAGGGCCCCCCGGATCCCCACAGTGCCACTGCTGCACCCCTCTGACAACAGAAATCCTATGACATAAGGACAGAGCACAGATCTTCTGCACAGTGAACCGGTGGTGAAACTTGGGTGTGCTATTTTCAGTTAAGAGGAAAAAAAATAAATTTCCTGCATTTTACATACTGCTTCATCTTGCACTCAATTAAAAGAGTCAAATTTTTTTCATAGAGAGGATGAGCTCAGATGTACCATGTCATTCTATTAAGCTCTAAAAGCTTTGCTTGAGGTGGGCACAGCTACGGCAATACCTTCATAGAGGACAAAGTATTTCTTAAAGTCTTTCATGGACTAAACACCTTTTCCAGTATCTCTGTAGGACAAAATGTTATCCTCACCATTCTTTCTTGGGTACACCAATACTGGGTTGTGAAATGCCCTGAATGGGGCTGCATTTCAGCTCTATGTTTTTCTGGGATTTATAAACTGTTTTGTGAAAGGACACTGTCACCTTCGTGCAGGAACTGGGACTTGCTGTTGTGAGGAGAGGAAGTAGTTTTGGCCATATGGCACCAAAAAAAAGATTGTTCATTTACTCACACCAGGATTCTGTTGTTGCACACATTTCAAAAGGCATAGACTCTGAAATTTTGACTATAGTTTGACTGATTTTTTTATGGTAATTTGAAATCAACAGAAACACACAGAGGTTGCATTGCAGGGCTAAGATTTTAGATAATGTGTTTTGCTCCTACAGAATCACAGCAGAACACAGTAGTGGCTGGCAGCTGGATGCAATCCATCTTTCAGAATCAGATTTCCACTCCACTCACCACTTACTCAACCGTGCCTGAATATATTAAGAGAGTGTAATATTGGATAGTGGAGAGATCCTACTCTTAATACTCTACATGAGTTTTCCTTTATGTCTTTAGAGACTTCCAATCAGTAAATCTGATTAGAGACTTTCTTTGATAGTTTGTTCTCCTCTACCTGAAAAAGAAGTTTTTAGGAAAGATTTTAAAGATGCATAATGTTAATTCTCCTTTTTGGAAGTTTCACAACAATGAACTGCTTTAGAACTCGACATGGAACTAATCATACTTCTACTGATAGTTTCATAAACTGTGAATGAGATTGGTATTTCTGTATGTTTAGAATGATATGCAGGAATTAATTCCTTAAAACTGCTTTTATAGTTCTAACATATAAAGCCTGTTCTACCAAAATTAAAGAAGTACAGGGAACATAGCTGGCTCAGGGTTTCCAATAATCAGTAAAACAGCTCATGTGTTGTAAGGACTTCAGGTTTTTAGAAAAAGATAATGAACACAGAATACTGGATGCCAACCCCATATATGTCTCAAGCACACATTATTCCTTCCTATTATATGTGTTTGGAACCTGAAGAGGAAACAGACTGAAAGAATCATCCGCTTCAACCTAACTACTTACAGATGACATATCTCTTTTTAGTATTTTTCAGTGGTTTGAAATAATAATTTAAAAAACCCCACACACACCAGCTTTTCTGAAACCTCTATGAAACAGATTATTTACTTGAAAAGAAATTTAGAAAGTAGCTAATTATCACTTAAAGCAATCTTGTTTTACTCAAAGTAAAAATCTTGTTTTACTCGAAGTTTGTGCTAATTACTAACTCCAATGTGTATTTATTTAAACCAGAAGTCTAATCTGTTCAAAATGGAATAGGGACAATATGTGGGACATTAGACCAAGCCGAGGGATAGTGCAGAAAATTTACAAATTCCTGCAATGTTAATGCTGGAAAAAATCTGCAGAATTTGGAAAGAATCTGTAGAATCTAGCAAAGAATCTGTGGAAAACCTGATGCGAACTATTTTAAGGGTTTGCTCTTTTCAGAGCAGTTCGGGCGCTCCCAGCACTGCCCGGCCAGCGCACGGCTCTCAGCCGCGGGGCAGACGCGGTGTTTCCGCGCTGCTGTCAAACCTGGAGCCACTCAGAAGCGGGACAGAACGCTGTGCTCGGGGGCTGCCGGCGCTGCGGGAGCAGCCAGCGGGGCTCCGCGCTGTGCCGGGCAGCGGCTCGGCGGGACGAGGCGCTGCTCCGCTCCGGCCCGGGGGCGCTGGGCCCCGGCCCCGCTCCCTCGCCTTCCCCGCTCCCTCCCGCTCCCCGCGTCCCCCCGCGGAGCCCCGGAGCCCGGCCCGGCCCGGCGGCTGCCCCGTACCTGCGGCGCACAGGTAATAGCGCTGGGCGCCCGCGCCCTCCACCTCGATGAACTCGTGCAGCCTCTGCCGCCGGGGGCCGAACAGCCTCTTGGCCAGGTCCTCCTTCACCAGCGAGGACATGGCACCCGCGGAGCTGCTCAGCGCCGGGCGCCGGCCCCCCGCGCCCCGCAGCCGCCACGGGGCACCACGGCGGGGGCTGCGCTCCGCCCGCGCGGGGCCGCGGGGCGCGGGACAGCACGCATGGCACCGACCCCGCTCCCGCCCGGACGCCTCCCCCGCCCCCGAGGAGCCGCCGATAAAACTTCGGCCGCCGGAGCCGGGAGAGGCCGGGCCGCGGATTCCCCGCCCCGTGCGGCAGCGGGGCGCTCCGGGCGCAGGGACCGATACCGATACCGATACCGGTACTGGCACCGGCTGCGCTGCCCTGCCCCGCCCCGCCGCTGAACGGGCCAAGGGCCGGAGGTGCCGGCGGGCCCCCCGCCAGAGCTATCACCCGGCCGGAGGGAGGAGACAACGACCGGGGAAGGACGCAAAACAATCACACTAGAGGCGTTTTCCAAAAAAAAAAAAAAAAAAAAAAAGAGCTGTTAACGCAAGTCTTTTTATCAGTAGATGAAAGCACTGAGAATTTATAAAGGAATTAGATGGCATTATGGCTGTCACCAGTGTTCCTCCAGTAATAGCTTTTTGGCTATTAATAGCGTTATGGACAAAATTACCTTATGCCACTCCTTATAAACAGAAAGTGAATTCACGTCCAGAGGAGTCGTCAAAGGCAGCCTGGGCACTACCCCAGAATGTTTGCACATGTGAGAAGTCTTTCATATCAGACCTAAATGTATTTGCAGAAATTTTGGTTGTTTCTGCCATTCTGCAGGTGTGTGGGTGAAGTTCCTGCAGCTGGGTGCTCTTTTAATTCCAGTATCCATGGTAGCCTGTGCTAGAGTTTTGCCCTTTAGACTAGTTTCTGGCTGCTTATATAACTTTGGAGATTCTCTTCTAATTCTTATCTTCAAGCTTAATATATGTGGATACCTTACTGAGTTTTTAATTTTTGTGATCTCAATGCAACATAGAAAGAAATGTTACCTTGGAATGAAACTGAGTGCTAAAGTGAAGGCAAGATTTAGAATCTGAGGATATTTTAAAAATTGGTGATGTTAGAGTTAATTAGTGACTTAGGTCTACATGGTGCTGATGATGTGAAGCAAAATAGAATCAAGTTAAAATGATGTAAAATTAGGGAGAATCGTCCTCTGCTAAAGATACTAAGCATATTGGGTTGACATGTAGAAAAGGATTTAAAAGAAACTAGGTTTTGATTTATTATGCTTTCTTTTGATTGCAAACTGTGTTTGTAAATGCAGCTATGATTTTTAGACATAGATATTAATTTCCTTCTCTGATTTGGGAGAGAAAAGTTACTCTAAGCATCAGGATTTATAAGTATGGTGCTTAGGGATAAATTTAATCTCTTAGCTTTAAAGTGTTATTTTAGGAAAAGAGCAGGATGCTCACTTCCAAACCAAGACATCCACATATCAGGAAAATGCCTCCTTATGGAGACTTCCCAGAGGCTATCTGAGACACAGGATGCCCAGGTTCCTGCCCACAATTTTGATGACTTGGCCACGCCTTGAATATGAGACTGCTGTACAAATTGGCTTGCAGTTCACTGTCCCTCTCTGTCGGCCAGACATTGGCAGAATTGGCAAGGCTGATACCCCAGGCTTCATTTCATCACCACCAGTGTTAATAGTGCCACGGCTGGAGGTTTCAGTGCTCATACTCAGTGCCAGACTCCTCATTAGGAAGCAGATTTTGGCTCTGCCAGCCTGTAGCTCAAGTTGTATCTCAGATACTTCAGTATTTTTTTCAGTTCTGAAGAAACAAAAGTACAGACAAAAATAGCTTTAAAAAAATACTCGCAGCTCTGGAATAATTTTCAATCAGTTTTCCCCTTGTTAAAGATTCAGGTGGTATCAGAGTAACTACCTAGAGGGCAAGTGAGGCATCACTGGCATCCTGGACGTGATGGAGCTAAGGCAAAAATGGTGCATAAATCTGATCTCTTTTGAATCAGATTTTAATTTTTCACAGTTTGATCATAATGTGAGTTTCCACAAGAGAGATGTTTTGAGATTTGATATACTAATATTCTTCTGCAATATCCTTTATTGTATTCTAAAACGCTGCATTAAAAAACCCCTCTGAAAATATGGGTCGAAAGGTGCAGTGATGAATTTAATGGGTAATGTTTTAATAGGAAACATAAAAATTTGTAATTCACTATTGCTTTTGATTCTTTTGATTCTTTATTCACTCATCCTCTGTTACAACATAGCAGATTTCAGATCCCCTTTAGCTGTGATAGTATAAGCCCAAATCCTCACAGTCTGAAAGGCAACAGCTGAGCTATAACTCACACAGCCAGCAAGGATACACTAACTATGGACTGGGAACAACTTATCGGACGCCCAACATCCCAGCCAGCCATCCCTACCTCAGATAGTACCACTCCTGAATGAGGATCTTATAGACATAAATCAGAAAAAACTAAACTAATTGTTACAAGGATCACAAAGAAATTTACATCCAAATTTAACTGGGATTTACATGTAACTGTCCAAATGGATTAATTACAGATAATTGTGAAAGCCACACAACCCCTAACCCAGGCTCACAGTGTTATACAAAGGGAGAAGTAGTCACCAGGGAAGCATCTTAGACCCTTCTATTAAATATTAATTATTTATGTACATTTTTCCCCCTGTTTTTCCCTTGCAATTTTTTCCTATGTCCAAATAAATTTTTCTTTACTGTACCCAGGATATTAACTTTAACAGATGTAGCAGCAGATCCAAAAAGGATACATCTCTTTAATCTTCATAGTTTCTCAGTCACAGTGTTATGGTAAAAATCTATTCACCAGCTTTAGGAAAAATATTTGTGATGGATTCCTCTACTTTGAGTCTACCATTGGACATTAGGATATGCATGCAATGTGATTATTTCAGGTTGATCCAAAATGCATTAATTTAATAGCAAAATTGTCTTTGATTCTGGTGGGCTTCAGAGCAGTCATTACAGGCACAGTACAATAGCTACTGTATTTAGGGGGGACTTCACTGTGTCTGCATGTTGAAGCCTTCCAGAAGATGTACATTTGATCTTTCTCTCAGTTCCTGGCACACCTTACAAAGCAGTGTTTGCTGGAAGCATCTTCCCCATTGCTCCTTGTTTGACAAAGTCATGAACTAATGGGAAGGAAAATGCAACATGAAGAATAATTTCTCAGAGCTGCAAAGAATCCCTATAGACTGAAAAATATAATTTATAATAGGCTTTACTTTCTGATAGCTGCTGATTCTGTTTGAGGTTTCAGCCAGGTACAGTTTTCTCTGTTAACAATTACTTTATTATCTGTAAATATTCTTCACAGCTTTGAGTCCCCAGAACACTTTTTTAATATCCCAGATGATATTTTAGCATGTAAACTAGAAATTACAAATGACATTCTACAGTGACCAAGCTGTACAGAGCAGTTTCCAAAGCTGACTTTAGAACACTAGTCATCAACTAGTGTTCATCATTTTTCTGAACGATCATCATTTTTCCCTGTGATTTACTAATGATTTTTTCTCAGGTCTCTTTCCCCACTGGCATTTTTAGAGTATCTGACTCCTAATTATGGCTAGTTATTCCCTTGTTTTTGTAGCTATGCCAATAGATCTCTGTGCAGTGAAGCATAAACCTAGCTGTGTTGTCCTGAAAACTCTTTGAAGCAGCAGACATAGCAGGGTTTCATGCAGAAATGCTGTTCAGTAAGCAACAGCTTGAGACACTCAGTTTTAAAATAGGACCATAGAAATACATGAAGTAGAAGATGTCAGTCAGTTAAAATGTTCTTGCAGAGCTGCCTTTCTCTTGATTGTTTTGGGGAGCCCATTAAAAGTCTTGTACCAATGCCAGGATATTTGGGTGCTCAAACAGACAATGATTCAAGATATCATCAGTTCTGGTAAAGAAAATTAAACCCCAAATGCGGCTGGTGTCTCTAATGATATGATGTAATTACTTCGTTTTAAAAACCAGTACTCTACTCTTTTCTTGAAGAAAAGAGGTAAAAGTGTTTATTCTGGATTTTATTTAACTGATGCTCAAATTCCTCAAGGTTATATTGACTTTTTACTGGTTAATAATTTTCAAAATGTAATCATGAGTGTCACTAGCATAAATGGCCCCACACAATGCCAACATCCTATCCAAAATTTTCCTTTCAATAGCAAATAGACACATCCTTCATATAATAGTAACCAGATGCTGTTTTATGGATGGAGTTTAAAAGCATATTTTGAAACATAACACAAAAGTATAAAGTATCCAACACTTCTATGAAGAATTTACACGTTGAATTTTACACATATATGAACTAAAAATTATGGCTGTAAGCAATTGACTTAAATAATAAGACTTTCAGTTCCTGTTCAGCAGAGCTCCTAAAAGCACTTTGATAAATTGCAGCCACATTTAATTAATGGTGTGAAATCCTGGCATGATGGATTCATCACTCTGTTATTCAAATATAACACATTCAATATCATACAATTCTCTTTGTGAAGGTAAAACCAGAAAGTAAAGAATAAAGAAAAAAAAAAGGAAAAAAGTTAAAACAAATCCTATGAGTTTCTATGCATACAAATGACCATTAATCTTCTGACAGCTGGAAGCTTTTGAAATTTTAGCTCAGGATTTTGGCATCTGTGGCATATTTTACAAAAAATACAGAGGAGAGCACATAGTAGAGAGTTACATTGATCAAGAAGTCACGAAGTATCTTGATAATACATTAGAAGTAAATTAGGTTGTTACACAAATCAAAGTGCCCTTTTATGTTCTCATTTTCCTGTAAATTTTTTAATAAATGGATTTTTTCTTCCAGAGTTACCCAGAACAACTTTAACAGATATTCTGTCAAAAGCCTCTTTATACTTTTTAATAATGATTTTCATCTCTATCTCTGTAGTTGCAAGTAATAAATTTAATTTGTCTTGGCACAAGAGCCACTCTCTTCTCTCATGAAAATTGAACATTATTATTAATGTAGATAGTCAATTACT